ATCACATCAATGGGCTAATGAAGAAAAACCATATGATCAAATCATCAGATGCATAAAAAGCATTTGACAAAGTCCAATACCCATTCAAAAAAAAAAAAAAAAAAAAAAACTCTCAGTAATCTAGGAAAGAGGAGAGAGCTTCCTAAAGTTGACAAAGAACACCGAAAAACAACTTACAGCTGACATCATACTTAATGGTGAGAAACTAGATGTTTCCTTTCTAAGATAAGGAACAAAGCAAAGATGTCCCCTCTACCACTCCTGTTCAACATTGTACTAGAAATTCTTACTGATACAATAAGAAAATAAAAGGTATACAGATTGGGAAGGAAGAAATACAACTGTCTTTATTCACAAAAAAAAACATGATTGTCCATGTAGAAAATATTTTTAAAAATCAACAAATATTCACCCCCAAAACCAAACAACTCCTGAAACCAATGAGGAAGATTTCAGGTTAACATAATAGATAAAAGTCAAATGCTTCTCTATATAACAGCAATGAGCAGTTGGAATTTGAAATTAAAAACACACCACTATTTCCATCAACACTAGAAAGGGAAAGAGAGAGAAAGAGAGAGAGAGAGACAGAGACAGAGAGAGAAATACTTAGGTGTAACTTTAAAAATTATACATAAACTTTATATGAGAAAAACTATAAAAGAAATCAAAGAAAATATAAATAAATGGAGAGATATTCCATGCACATGGATAGATTCAATATTGTCAAGACATCAGTTTGTCCCAATTTGATCTATAAATTCAATGTGATTCCAGCCAAAATCTCAGAAATTTATTTTGTCGATACTGACAAATTGATTCTAAAGATTATATGGAGAGAAAAAAGATTCAGAATAGCCAACACAATGCTGAAGGAGAAGAAAAAAGTTGAAAGACACTGACTTTAGGACTTACTATAAAGCTATAGTAATCAAGACAGAGTGGTATTGGTGAAAAAATAGACAAATGGATCAATGGAACAGAAGAGAGAGCCCGGAAATAGCCCCACTTAAATACGGTCAAGTGATCTTTGACAAAGCAGCAAAGGCAACACAATGGAGAAAAGACGGTTTTTCAAAAATTAATTTGGAACTACTGCACATCCATATGCAAAAATGAATCCAGACCTTGACCTTACATTTTTCACAAAAATGAATTCAAAATGTATCAGAGACCTAAATGTAAAATGCAAAATTATGAGACTTCTACATAGTAACACAGGAGAAAAATCTAGATGGCTTTGGTTTTGGCAATAAGTTTTTAGATACGGGAGCAAAGGCATAATCCATGAGGGAAAAACTGATAAACTGGATGATTAAAATTAAAAACTTCTTTGCAAAAGACACTGCTAAGAGAAAAGAAAATCCAGAGACTGGGAGAAAATATTTGCAAAACACCTATCTGATAAAAGATGTGTATCAAAATAAACAAAGAACTCCTAAAACCTAACAATAAGTAAACAACCTGTTTGAGAAGTGGGCAAAATATCTGAACAGACACCTCACCAAAAAAGACATATAGGTGGCAAATAAGCATGTGAAAAGATGCTTCACATCATATGTCATTAGGAAACAAAACAACAAGATAGCACTACTCCTCAATTAGAATGGCCAAAATCTACAACATGACAACACCAAATTATGGCAAGAATATGGAGCAACAGGAACTCTCATTCATTGCTGACAAGAACACAAAATGGTAGAGCCACTTTGAAAGATGATTTGGAAGTTTCTTCCAAAGCTAAACGTGGTGCTGCCATATGATCCAGCAATCACACTCCTAGGTATTTACCTACAGGAGTTGAAAACTTATATCTATTTAAAAACTGCACACAAATGTTTATAGCAACTTCATTCATAATGGCCCAAAACTCAAAGCAACCAAGATGTCCTTTAATTGGGGGTAAGTGGTGATTGGCATGGCTAGTTGAAGAGTAGGCATGAGTTTTTTTTAATACAATAAACAAATTAAAATCTCATTGAGTGACTAGAAATTATCTATATTTCTCAAGGTAGACAGATTCTAACATTTGTGCATATGACGTGAATTTTTAAATTAAGATAGTGAAGAAAGAGCTAACAAATTCATTTTTAAAAAACAGAATGTAAAGGTACTATTTTTAGTTTTAAAATACAGTAAAATTTTGGAAGCTTTCAGATTCAAGTTATATTATTTTTAACGCATTAAAATATCCATCCAAAGGGTAATATAGCTTTGAATATTTCATTATAAACACTTGAAAATAATTTTTGAACTCAAAATTCATGAGGAATTACATGTTTACAAGTAACACTGCATATCATCACAGACTTAAAAAGTAACTTTTAAAAGGCACAAAAAACCCCGCAAATGAGTCCTTACATGTTTGCCCTGAAAAATCCTTACAAAATTATCTTTATATGTCCATTGTGACATAACAATTCAAACAACAATGCAGGAACAGAAATCATGAAGCATGAGAGAAATATCACATATACCTAGATTTGACCCTACTGCATAATATTATGAAATTGAAAGGCAGAAACCAGGTCATACATAAGATAAGAAAATGACTAGAGTCTAACTCTCCAGTATTATAAAATACTGACTTTAAGCCCAATAGACTAAAAGAAAAAAAAAAGACACAAAATTATTCCAACAAAAAGAGACATTCATTATTTTAATGATGTAAAAATTCTACCTCAAGACAGAAATTGTTTTTAATAAATCATTTCTAATCCTTTAGTTTAATAAATTCTTCTGTTTTATGTACTTTACCATCAAAACTTCCTTTTCATCAAGAATAGTGAGTCTATTATTTTATATACAACTACTAAGAAAGACAAGTTAATGCCAAAAAACAGGCTGAATTTGTGGTCTTATCACAAATTGAAGAATGAAAACAAAATACCCAGACTAGATCTTCCTTGAATTTTTTAAGAAAACCATTTCTTTTTCAATGTGGAAACTCAGTGAACTTTCCACTTCTAATTATGCAACACAAGAAAGGCTAATCCAGACATATTCGCTTTAGTTGGAAGAGGTATGTATAAGAAATCTGAAAAGTATTATTTTTTCCTCGGTTCAACTCATTCTTATTCTTTTCCCATAAGACAATGAAATTAAAATAAGTACCTAAAACACTAAGCACTTTTACTTTTACAATACAAACTAAAATACATCATTCACTCTTAAAACCATGGACAGATTTTGAAATTAGAATTTTTCATTGTTTTCCATGTGGCCTGGCTTTGAACTCCACCATCCCCACTCTTTAACATAGCATCCTTTTTAGGAAAAAAACTCACTTAGAACAATGTCTGGTTTCAGAGACAAACACTTATATCTAACCAGATGGCCTTTTCAAAAAAGCTCTAACCAACCTTAATTTAAGAAACACAATTAAGTCTTCACAACCAAAATGTCATAAATTAAATAAAATTATTCTGCAGTCTCCTTTTCTCATTCTATGACTCTCTAGACCCTAAAAGAGGTTTGCTACATCTCATTCACATAATGATCCTCATTTCAAAACTCCTTTTAGTTCTCAGGAAGCTTGAATGACACAGGTGGTTCAAATGAAAAGACAAGATCTCCCTAAAGTTGCGACAAACCATTACCTTTCCTCATGATGCCTATATGAAGTTTATGTAAGTAGAGAAAATTCCATAAAAACTCCTACAATAAATTCAATGCATTCTACAATAAAATTTACCTTCAGTATGATTATATAGATGTGAAATCTAATTAAAGGAAGGGACAGACATGTATACTCGGTTCTATGAACACTGCATATAGACATGTAAACTGAATGAGGAATATAATATCAACTTAGTGTTTGGAAAATAAAGACACATGGAATAGAATTATCAAAGACAAAAATATTTAAAGTTAAAATGTGCAGCAGAAATAATGAGCATGAGAAGTTAACTGAAAGACAAGAATGATGAAACTTTAGAATAAAGCAATGTCTGAATACTTTTTTAAAAGGGAAAAAACCTGGAACATGAAAAATTTGGAAGATTTTTAGGGGAGTAATCACCCATTAATATTTAAAATATAATTCTATAGTCAAAAATTATATTAGTATTTATGACACAGAACTCTTTTTCATGATTTAGGATAACCTAGAATGAACACTGATTATAAAGCATCAGAGAGGGAATTTTTTCATTGTTAAGACCATTTTAACCTGACTTGTAGCAATAGAGTGGGTTTTAGCTCTGGAAACAGGCAAGAGGAAGAAAACTTTGACTCTTTGAGGATAACAGCTTAGTTTGTAATCCACGAAAGGTATGATTACATCTTTAAAAAGTTAAGGCAAGGAGGTGAGAAGTATGTAAAAGTATAGGAAATGTTAAGTAAAGACCAATTCAGGAAATTAAGCAGACACCATTTAGAGTTTAAGAAAGAAAGAATCAATGAGGGGAAGAGGTATCAAAGACATCATGTAGGAAGATTTCCACACGGAGAGGCTGGCATTTGAAAGAGACCAGCAAGGGTTGTGCAGAAGTATAACAAATGCCCACACTCATGACACATCGTCATGAAATTCACAGTGGGCCACATGTGGGAAAGCAGAGGCTCACTTTTGATTGTTTTTTAAACTATCAGCAAGATATTACTTTGATGAAAAACATTAAATATTGAATAATGACAAAGGCTAAATTCTAGGCATTGCCGTTTCATGCTCAATATGTGGTGCCAACGAATTATAGTTATAGCTCAGTATTTATAGTTACACATCTCGAAAATGACATACATCTTAAAAATTGAGTATATTTACAAATAAAATCTCTATTTCATGTGCTTTTGATGTTTATATACTTTATTTTAAAATTTCAAGCAAATAAAAAAAGTAAATAAAAATGAATGCCACAGTCATGCTGCTTGACTTATATTTAGTTCTTGCCAAAAGCTGCCAAAATCGTGCAACCACTGCATGAATATATGACTGTAGAAAAATGCATTAAAACCATTGAAAATATCACCTGCAGGACTAATAATATTCGCATAATTACCTGCTGTGGGATCTGTAACTGCTTGGCTGGTGATGCCAGATGGTGGTTCTTGAAGCTGGTAAGTGGCATTGGTGGATGGTGTCGTTGGGCTGGTGTTGCTGCTGGTCATATAATGTGCTGGATACGGTGAGCTGTTATAATACTGTGCGTACTGACCCTGGCCAAAACTGGGGTAAGATGGATAGTCCTACGAAATCAAACCACACAAGAATTGTCTGTCAAAATACTGCTGCTTATCTCTTACCTATCAAAGTGTAACTGTATGTTTGGGTTTCTGAGGCTTTTCTGAATTCACACAGGAGGGCATATAAGTACACATTAACTAAAGAGCTCAGACTTGAAAACAAATTTTATGTAAGATTATATACATTCCTCTTATTTTTGCTCTTCTATGATGCAATACTAGGTAAAATTAAACCAATCTGAAAACCAAACAACTCACCACAAAAGACTGCTAAAGTGAATTTTAAAAGAAAACTGCTAAAAGCCTTAGGAAAACTCTCACTTATAATATAAACAGATCTTTATTTATATAAGAAAATCATGTTGTATTTAAAGATATTTTTCAGAAGTTAAACTGGCTTTTTAAATTACCTGCTGTGAACTATTAAATCCAGAGGAATTTGTGAGTGAATTATTTCCTGTATATAATCCTGATGATGTTGTAAAACTGCTACCTAAAACAGAATGAAAAGAAATATGGTTACATCAGGCTATGTGGAATAATGTGGGTCCAGGAAAACAGCATTTAGATAAGGCAGAATTGGCATTTGGGTTTATCTTCAACACTAGAATCCGTTGTCATGTCCAAAATGTAGTTTTCTTAACATAGTTGATATTTTTACTACAAAATTAAAAAACAAAGAGGTTTCAATTTCCAAGGATGTTAGTAACTTATATAGACTAAGGACAAAATTATACATTTGTGTAAAAATATTAGACACTGAACTTTTCAATTTACAAAACACATCAAGATTTTTCATGTATTTATATTAAATTCACATAATGTAAAATGATGGGGGGAGATTAGATGATCTTTAAGGTTCTTGCAAGCTCAAAAACTATGATACTACTTCCAAGAATTTAAAATGCTTTCAGCATTTTAAATGACCAATGTATTATATGGTCATTAAAATGGCATACTGAAAAAGCCATTTCATTTCACAGAAGACTGAATGGCAGCACTTGATAAATTTGATACAACAAAGATGAAAGAGGAATATGATTAATGTTTTATCTATTACATGTGCTGTCAAGATAATGTTCTGTTGAATGTCCACATTGTTAAACAATGAATAGTAGGCACTGTGTAAGATATAACACGAGAGCAAAGCTGAGCTCTCTCTTTCACATGATTTACTCTTTTGTTATTAAGCTATGCAAAACAATAATATGTTACCATTGATAATCATATTGGCAAAGATTTTTTAAGAAGATAAGGTCAGGGATTGGGAAATATATAAAAAATGGCATTCATACACTGCAAAATGGGAATTTACATAGGCACAATCTTTCCGTTCGGCTATTTGGCTTATGATTGAGAAATTCTGTGTGCCATTTAACCCAGCAATTTTATGTCAGGCATTTACTCTAAGAAAAAAATAATTATAGATTTATACAAAGAGATAGCAAAGATGTTCTTCAGTGTTGCTTCTAATAAAAAAAACCTAGGGAAGCAGCCCCAAGTCCTTAACAGGTATTATTCAGAAAATGGAATACTACGAAGCTGTTAAAACGGTGTTATAATGATGTTTAATGACATGAGAAAAATTTTCATATTATTTTGTGAAAGTAAAAACTAAAATAACAAAAAGTATTTTTGATGATCTCACTTAAAATATTTTTTAAAGCATAAGAAATTTCCTTTTTTTTTATTTTTTTTATTTTTATTTTTTTATTTTTTATTTTTTTTTAAATTCATTTATTATTATTATACTTTAAGTTGTAGGGTACACGTGCATAACGTGCAGGTTTGTTACATATGTATACTTGTGCCATGTTGCTGTGCTGCACCCATCAACTCGTCATTTACATCAGGTATAACTCCCAATGCAGTCCCTCCCCCCTCCCCCCTCCCCATGATAGGCCCCGGTGTGTGATGTTCCCCTTCCTGAGTCCAAGTGATCTCATTGTTCAGTTCCCACCTATGAGTGAGAACATGCGGTGTTTGGTTTTCTGTTCTTGTGATAGTTTGCTAAGAATGATGGTTTCCAGCTGCATCCATGTCCCTACAAAGGACACAAACTCATCCTTTTTTATGGCTGCATAGTATTCCATGGTGTATATGTGCCACATTTTCTTAATCCAATCTGTCACTGATGGACATTTGGGTTGATTCCAAGTCTTTGCTATTGTGAATAGTGCTGCAATAAACATACGTGTGCATGTGTCTTTATAGCAGCATAATTTATAATCCTTTGGGTATATACCCAGTAATGGGATGGCTGGGTCATATGGTAGATCTAGTTCTAGATCCTTGAGGAATCGCCATACTGTTTTCCATAATGGTTGAACTAGTTTACAATCCCACCAACAGTGTAAAAGTGTTCCTATTTCTCCACATCCTCTCCAGCACCTGTTGTTTCCTGACTTTTGGAAATGCTGTCTCTGAAGGATTTGATGTATGGTCACATAGCATTCATTAAGCCAATGTACATTTTTAAGTTTTCTACTCGGAACCTATGTTGCTTCTATAATTAGAAATAAAAGTCATTTTTAAAAAAGTTACAGTTTTATGGCAAATGAGTGGTAAAGGCCATAAATGTGTTGGCAGTTCAAGAGGGAATTTCTTCAACGTGAACTCACTATTCAGATGGCTTCAGGTATAAAATGTGGTAGTATATGCCAATTATTTACTTGCTACTGAACATTTAAGTATTGGCTTAAGAGTCAGAAAACAGTTTTCAGTTCATCATTTATGAGCTGTTTGGACTTTGGACAAGTCTCCTAGCCACTCTAAAACATAATTTCCTTATCTGCAAAAACTCTACTTTGCAGTGTTCCCAACAGATCAGATGAGGTAATGTTTTGGAAAGCATAATGGACACTCTACAATATCACATAAATGTTAGGCACATTATGGTTTATTGCAGCAAGCACTTCTAAAATTCTCTATTTATGTATCTTTTCCCTCTTTTTACTTTCCCAAATTAGATAAATATGACTTAATCTCTTTATATATCTAAAATTCAATTCCTATTTACTTATCAAGCATCTATCAACTTTAAAAGCTTGAGCCAAGAATTATTTTTATTAAGAAGGGAATCTGTTTCCTAAAATAGTGTCAAATTTAGTTATCACACAGACTCTATTTGAGGTTTCTTCATTTGCACATTTCAGGAATATCAATTGTTCCAAGTTCCCAGAACACCTATCTTAGACAGGCAGAGAGCTCTCACAGTGCTGGTAGCCACCACAATTAGCCATCAATAGACAGACTTCACATATTAATGTTCATTTGCATGTGGTAATCACATACAAGGGAAACATGTATCCAATGCCAGGCTCATGGTGACAATTACATGGGGCCAAAAGGATGACTAAGACATAGTCTCAGATCTCGCAGGGCTTATCAGACTATCAGTTTTGTTTTTTTTTAAACATTGTCTCTTATGGGCATATGACTCACTCTTTATGTGCATATCAGTGAACAATTTATTATTGATATTATACATAAAGCAAACTTACACGGGATGAACATTTAAAAATGCCTTGTAAAAGAAATTTTAAATTACTTTTGGATAAAGGTGTGGATATCAATGCTTTTTTATAAAACTTTAGCTATTATATGCATTTAAGAGGAAAAATTACCTTGGGTTATGATCCGTTACTTTCATTTAAACTATACAATTTTAGGTTACGACTTGCTATTTTCATTTAAATGACACCTTTTTGAGCAATAAATACTGACCTCAATAATCCCTATCCACCAAGAAAATGAATAAGATATAGAAAATACATTTTTAAAATGGATGTTTTCATTCCATAAGTTATCCCCTGAAATGAAGTAGGAAAGACCATGGAGGCTATATTGGCACACACAGGCCACGAGGGTCTGACCAAGTAAATCACAGTTCGGTACTCCAAATGGCACCCAAGTGACTTTCCAGACTAAATGCTACTTCCAAGACTGTGCATTAGCTGGAATTCAACATAAGTTATACTCATTTGCTGGCTGACTGCAGGCTGAGATTCCATTCCATTTAGTATGCCGAAACAGGAGTTTAATGGCACCCCAGTGGCTTTGGAGACTTAATGCAACTTCCAAAAGGATCTTACTTTAGGGAGAGATGTACATACTAGAGAATCAGGCTCAGGCAATATTAATTTTTCACCACCAGAATCAAGTTCGCAGGGCCACTCCACCTGCCTTCACATAGGACTTAGGCAAACAGAGCTGCTAACTCAGACCAGGCCACAGCAGGGGACTTCTGCAACAGCCTTCTCTACTGGTTTCTTTACTCATCTTTGGGTACTGTCCAGCCCATTTTCTGCAAAGTCAGTAGACTCTCTAATGTGCATGACTGATCTTGTCACTCCCCTGCTTAAAAAAGTAACCTCTAATGGCTCCCTGTTGCCCTCAGGATAATATTCAAACTGCTTACTAGGGTTTATGTATTAGGCCTTAGCTGGTCTAAACCCAGTTTATCTTTAGAACTTCTTTGGTCTTTTCCCAGCAACTGTGACTCCAATGCACCCGGGCATACATTCTAGCCTAATCCTAGTAAACCAACATGCAGGCTTTCTAATGTTACTCCTTACAGCTCCTACTTCCTGCTTTCAAATCCAGGTTAACTTCGACTGCACTTCACAATTCAGCAGAATTTGAAACCCCCTTTCTCAGAAAAGCCTCCCTGAATCCCCATTCTCTCCTTTTTCCCTCTAAACCTGGGTGGCTGAATCAATCCATCTATCATCTGTCCATCTCCATGATATATGTATCAATCTCTCTGATGTACCTACATTTGAGTGATATATATCTATATAAATACACACATGACTTACTCATCAGTATTTTAAGCCAAGTACTAATTGACCTGTAAACTAACAAATACTAATTATATGTAAACTAACTAGTCCTTCGCCTATAAAACAGGATAACAACAAAAAACATTGACATTCCTATAAAAAAATTGGATATTTACACCTAACCCATACAAATATCCCCAGAATGCAAAATATAATACCCATACTAGAGGTGTACTTACTAGAGAATCAGGCTCAGCCAATATTAATTTTTCACCACCAGAATCAAGTTCCTAGGGCCGCTCCACTTGCCTTCACATAGGACTTAGGGTCTGACCAAGTAAATCACAGTTCGGTACTCCAAATGGCACCCAAGTGACTTTCCAGACTAAATGCTACTTCCAGGACTGGAACATACAAATATCCCCAGAGTGCAAAATATAATAACAATAAAACAGAAAATACCCACTGAGTACTCTGTATGTTAGGAAGTAGGCTCGCCCGCATAGGCTTCATCTATACTACACAACAACTTGGTACTCCAGGGTCTATGATCATTCCCATTTTGCAGATAAGGAAACAGAGGGTCAGATTACAGTAACACAGCTTCCAAGGAATGAAGGTTGAAACACAAACACAGATCTGTCTGGTTTTAAGGTCTATACAATGCTCTCTTGACTCCTCTTGCTGGAGTTTATATTGTATAATGGGA